GTACGGTTTCGCGCCCGACGTCAGTCTCCACTTTGCCGGTGTTTGGCTTCGGACGTTGCTAAGGCGAATGACGACCGGCGCTCCGGCAACGGCGACATTTCAGGGCGTCTCGCTGGACGAGGCGGTGGAGGAGACGCTTGGCGTCGTCCATCTCGGCCTCGTCTGGCTCCTCGGCCTCGGGCTCTACCTCGGCTTGCCGGGCTGGGCGAGGCCAGATCGGCGACTGGGCGCCGTCCGACCGCCGCATCTGACCACTTGTCCGGTTGCCGTGACAACGGAGGATCGCGGTGATCCGATCGGCCGTCTCTTGAGCTGGCTCGAGGCGGTCGAGATCGTCGCGATCGTCTGGTTCAGTCTCCGCGTCCACTGCTCCATCAGTCGGGCCCGAGGCCGGGCTCGCGGCGGTCTGGGTTCGACGGAGTCGGGACTCGAACCGGTCGCGGTTATGACGCCTCCGAGAGCGGACGTCGAGAGCCGCGTCGGCGGCGCGAGCAGCGACTCCGGCGAGCCGCGTCACCTGCGCTTCGCCTCGGTCTCGATGAGCACTAGCGGCAACAACGAGGAGGCGATGGCGCCGAAGCGGGACTCGAACGCCACCCGAAATCGGCCCTCGCAGGCAGTCGTGGAGTTCTCGCGGGCCCTCAACACCATTCGCTTTTTCATGGCCTCCGTCGTTCTTGGCGTGCTTCCGGCAACTATGGCCCAACTGGCCACGGCGCATGGACTTTCGGTGAGTTCGAATCACGCCAGCCGGCCGAAATGTGTGAGTTAGTCAAAAGATAAACGTTTCAAGCATCCGAATTGGTACCAACGAGCAAAGAATGTAATGGGCAAATAGGAAAGCATACATTTGGGAAAGAAATGAAAAGCACTGGTGCTGGGAAGCAACTGTAAAAATAGAGGTTAAATCCTGTAGAAAGGAAGAGAACAGTGGGATATGGGGAGATAAGAGTTGGAAAAATCATATGATAATATAGCATATAGCAAGGCAAGTGAAATTAGACAATAAAAAAGTGAAACTATAGAATTATCAAAAGAAGAAGAATAGGAAGGCTTAAGTAAACTAACTTCCATTAAAATCTATGGTGTGCTAGAATAATCATGCAATAAAATTAGGATTCGTTTGATAGCAACACATCCCATCTAATCTCAGCGCATCCAAATAATCGCATCTCAACTTAAACGAGCTAAACTCTTCTCAATAAAGAACAACCCATTGAAACTCCTAGCAAATAATCGAATTGCATCTCATCACATATAATCTCATCTCTATTCTTTAAATCTCATCTCATCATAACTCACCACATCTCATATAATCCTAACTCATCTCAGCTCACATCATCTACAATTATCTCATCGAATCTCGTCTCATAGCATATATATTTAATTGATATAATCTCATCTGATTCCATCAAAACTCATCAGTTTTATTCGGATTAAAAATATTTCACGGTGATTCAACTTAAGTCACTTGGGGAGTTGAAATGACTGATAGTAGAACAATTCCACAATACGAACCTTTGATTTCACGAGGTCATTCAATTTCAATAAATTTAGTCTCATAATCTTTTAAACCCACGTTGGATATCATTTAAATCATCATCAGCATCCTTATTATCGCTTTCATTAGCAGCAGCATCATGAACAACGCCCAATTCATCAGCATCAATATTATCAGAGCCATGAGCATTATCACATCACCATCATTATCAGCACCAGTATCCTCATTATAATTTTTATACTTCTCCTCATCATAATCCCATTATCCATCGTCGTCCTCAGCATCATAATCAGTATTAAAATTATCAGAAACAATATTATAAATATATTCACCCTATTTCGGTTAGGGCGATGAAGGACTGCTATTTGAAGTTTCCCATAATTATATGATTAGAGCTGATGTTTACAATGAATTTCATATATTATTCGAAGGTATGAAGACCAAGATGGTGGAGCCTTTTGTGTGGTCGCAGTCTCCTTTCGTTGTATAGAAGTTGTTTTACGTTGGTCAATTTGGTAGGAAGACTTAGAGGAGCACACCTTGTCCTGAGTCCATTGTATGCATCATCATTTCCAAATTCGGACCGTGGACGTGGTACTTTTCGACTTTGGAAATGAGCATACACACAAAGGACTCCGGACTGGGTAAGCTCCTCTAAGTCTTCCTACCAAATTGACCAAGTTGTGAAAACAAGGCCAAACAACTTCTTCACATATTATTGCTTTCCAAAAAGGTGCTCTTCTCTACGCTGCAGTTTCGACTTCGCTTAGGTTTTGTCAACACCTTCAGCGGGGGTCGAACCCTGACAGTAAAGCGTATAATCTCAACACGTTAGCCAATACGCCACATTTCCACAAAAGTCCTTGGGCCACAAGTCAATTATGAATTGCAAAGAAGACTGGACATTTTACAAAATCATATTCTGTGGAGGAATTTTCCATGAAACAAAGTTATATTTGCTATGGCAATCGACTACATTACTTATATTTCGTTTATAAGTAGGATTTCGAGACTACTTTTGGAGCAAGCAAGGCTATGTGAAATTAAATGGAAACTCCGGCTCTATTTGTGTAATTGTTGGAAAATTCAACTTCCAGTCCTTCATCTCCCTAAACGAAATAGGGTGAATATATCCCACATGACTAATTTACTAGCAGTCTCGAAGCCCTACTCATGAACGAAAAATTATCAACATTATTGTCAACAGTCTCATCAGAACTACCGACGAAATTGTAATTCATGAAATATCCGCCAAACGGCAACGCATCGCCACTGCCGATAGATCACAGGAAAGCTAAGATCCTGTAGAAAAATGGGTCAAATCAACGGATTGGTTCAAAGGTATCGAATGACGTCAACAAGACATTGTAGTAAAACAGGTTTGCGGCCTCGATAATTCCATAACAACTATGCGATTTAGCACGGTCCTGACTTTCCCTTGAGCTCTAATCTGTCTTGTGACCCTATGACCTCCATTGCTGTACTAAATAGGGTACCTTGGTCTCGGGTCTCTTTGAGACGCTGAGGAAGCCATGGATGTGGACAGTGTTTGGGAAACGAGTACAAATGAACTTCACTGGTTTCGTGAGGCCTACTTGCAGTTGAAGCCGATTATTAGTCTTGCATCATCCAAGGAGAACTAATTTGACCAGATTTCCTGCTCTGGTTCACATGTTAGCCTTTAAAAATACTCACCACATGTGTAGTCATCGAATTGTGTCGACGACTAATGCGAGCTTTAGTATTGCAGAAATGCATTGATATCTGCCGAAAGCCTCTCTGCCTCAAGATGGATTGAAGAGAAGAGTTTATTGTCGAAATGAATTTTACGGTGCTATGCAGCGCATGGGACCTTTCTTATCGCCAACCTGCAAATCTGCACAGACAATCAAGAGCTTTCCAAACCTGACAAGTGGCAGTTATGAGATGAAGTCCTTATCCTTTCGCCCAAATCACACGAGCCTAAACTTATTGGGCTGTGTGACGTGTATGGCTTCATTTTTTAGGAGAACTTGTGTATCGTTCGGTAGTCGTGTTTGGGTTGAGCTCACTTCCATTTCAAGTGAACATGTTTGCTAAAGAGATTGGAAGACCGATTTCCTTATGAAACGACGGCAGCTGTCGATTGGCTTTACTTGAACATTCTTGTTGTTGCTGTTTCCAATGAAATCTTATCCGATTCCGGTGAAAACATGCGGTGCTTTCGTCTGTCGTCTGACACCCACCTGTCCATCTGCTTATGCATAAGTGATGTATATATGCCCTAAATATAAACACTTTGATGATATATAAAGTTATTTGATTAGTTCAAGTTTTATGTGAACCTTAAAGCTGGCGAGTGTGTGTGTTCATGTTACTTTATATGAACGAAACCAGCAGTGATGGCTTAAATTAAGAATAGGTAGAAAGAATAACTGAGCTTCGATGAATCTTCAGAGATAACATTTTTGGGGAGATCTTAATTTTGTATGAAAGTGCATTGGTACGTTGAGCTCGCAAGATGGCGAAGCCATTGGACATCTTCCCTCATAAGATGGGCGAAAGCTCAGCCAGTTTTCCCTCGAAGCAAGTGAAAATGTCTCGTGGACTACGTCAACCTGAACTTTGTGTTAAAGCGAAACGGTTGCAGAACAACAGAAATCAGCTGCCGTCAAGGTTTGATGACCACATCACCCTCTTTATATATTTTTATTTATTTGTTTATACAACATATATTTTAACCCGCATTCTGGTTACGCAAAGTCGGACATACGTCGGGTTATTAGTATGAGATTTTTGTGTTCATGTGAGGGAGAAATAGGGGCTAAAGTACAGAGAATTGACCTTTATTAGAGCCAGAACAAGAAAAGATTAGTTGAAACGTCCTCACTTTCTTGAGTCAATTCATTGAGCACAATTAATTCTTACTTAACTTCTTGCCGGTATTCTTTACATACAATGCATTCCATATTCAGTTGATATCGATGGCTTCTCTCATTTTTCGTTTACCCACAAACAAGCGATAATCACCCAACTCCGATTTTTGAACCCAACAGACTATGCAGACGCTGTTGAGCTCAGCCACACTTTGTCTTTCCGAACGAAGTGGCAACCCAATTTGGAGAATGGGTCAAATTTCTCTTTAAAAGTGGGCATAACTGAAGTAAATGTTATCGTTTTTATTCCCTCTCTTTTTAGAGAGAATGCACACAGGTAAAGACAAAACATGAGAAAAGGTCTCCTTATCTCACCCTTTAAAAGCTATTCTTTATTAATCTCAAGAAATATTGGTTTGAGCCGATACAGTCCAGTAAGACAATCGGCTAATAATAGATTTTACAACACAAACCTTTGTTTTGCAATTATGGTTGGGGTGACAATTAAGGATAAAACAAACGCGTGTTTG